GCCTGCTCACGTCACGTCTGCCAAACCAGAGCCTGCTTCCATCATGTTTGCTACGCCAAGTCCTTTTCACGTCACGTCTGCCAAGCCAGAGCCTGCTCACATCATACATCACACTCAGGAGATTCTTCACAATATGGCCGCCATTGAAGAGCTCCGTTGCAAGATGGCCACCACACAAGAGTCTCTAAACAAAATGGCCGCTCTTCAAGAGTCTCGTCACGTCTCAGCTGATCTTCAAGAGTCTCGTCAGTCCCCGGCCAAGATGTCCGCCACGCCTGAGTCCCCGGCCAAGATGGCCGCCACGCCTGAGTCCCCGGCCAAGATGGCCGCCACGCCTGAGTCCTTGTGAAAATCACTATTTACTTTGACCAACTCTTTGCCTTTAAAATGGCATAATTTCACACACACCATTTAATAGAATCTCATACCTTCTTAACATGTCATTATGTGCTTCCTCTCTTAACACAATCGGTCGATCCATTGACTGATCACTTTTTAGAGACGCAAAGGAAGAAGGAAGGTATGCTGCTTCATATGGTTGTAGACTTTAAGAATGAGAAAGACAAGGGGAATTTAACGCTGAACGCTGAACACGTCTCAGCTGATCTTCAAGAGTCTCGTCAGGCCAAGATGTCCGCCACGCCTGAGTCCCCGGCCAAGATGTCCGCCACGCCTGAGTCCCCGGCCAAGATGTCCGCCACGCCTGAGTCCCCGGCCAAGATGTCCGCCACGCCTGAGTCCCCGGCCAAGATGTCCGCCACGCCTGAGTCCCCGGCCAAGATGTCCGCCACGCCTGAGTCCCCGGCCAAGATGTCCGCCACGGCCGCCACGCCGGCCAAGATGGCCGCCACGCCTGAGTCCCCGGCCAAGATGGCCGCCACGCCTGAGTCCCCTGAGTCCTTGGCCGCCACGCCTGAGTCCCCGGCCAAGATGGCCGCCACGCCTGAGTCCCCGGCCAAGATGGCCGCCACGCCTGAGTCCCCGGCCAAGATGGCCGCCACGCCTGAGTCCCCGGCCAAGATGGCCGCCACGCCTGAGTCCCCGGCCAAGATGGCCGCCACGCCTGAGTCCCCGGCCAAGATGGCCTCCACGCCTGAGTCCCCGGCCAAGATGGCCGCCACGCCTGAGTCCCCGGCCAAGATGGCCTCCACGCCTGAGTCCCCGGCCAAGATGGCCGCCACGCCTGAGTCCCCGGCCAAGATGGCCTCCACGCCTGAGTCCCCGGCCAAGATGGCCGCCACGCCTGAGTCCCCGGCCAAGATGGCCTCCACGCCTGAGTCCCCGGCCAAGATGGCCGCCACGCCTGAGTCCCCGGCCAAGATGGCCGCCACGCCTGA